GTCTGCTGTCGCTGCCTGCGTTGGGCTCCCGACCGGGGTCGCCCCGCCGACGGTATGGTAGGTGCGGGGAGCTGCGCGCGGGGAAGGGAAGGGTCGCCCCAAGGCGGCGGGGTCGGAGACTCGGATGCGACGACCCTTGGGGCAGCGGGAGCCTCCCCGACCCTAGTCTGGCGCATCCCACGTGGTGGGGCTTCTGGGGGTGGTGGGTGGATGGAGGCACCTTCGCCCCCCCCTGGGCATGTTGCACGTGGGAGGCTGGGCAGGTGGGCTTCAGTGTCTGGGAGCGAGCCCAGGGCGGGGTCGTATAGCCCAGGCCCAGGGCCGCGGGAAACGGAGCCCTAGAGCTGGGGTGGGAGCACCAGACCCCCCGCAGGCTGGACAGACAGGCAATGGTCAGGTCTACCCCAGCCCCTGCCCCTGCCCGTCTTCCCGGGACCCCCAGTCCGTTTCCATCTGGGAAATGCAGTTGAGGGACTCCCCACTGAAGGAAGCCCCTAAAATATACCAGCCTCCTCTGTGGTAGGGGGAGTGGGGTGGGGGGACTGCATGTTGACAGCCCACCAGTGAGCAGAAGGGACAGAGGTCCCGTGAGGGACAGTCACAGCTGGAGGTGACCTGAAACCAAGCCGGACTTTGCCCCAGGCCTGTCGGTTCTAGTTCGGTGGTCCTGGGGTGGTAGCAGCCCTCAAACCCAGCTTCCAGGACAAAGAGCTGTATTGTCAGGGTCTCAGGGCAACTCCACAGCACGGAGTAGCGCTGCTCCCCAGGGCTTCCCAGGCTAAGTCTTTACAAGTCCAGACTCCCCTCTCTCCCTGGTGGGTTTGAACCACTGACTGACCTTACAGTTCATTGGCAGCCCTGAGCTTATCCCACTGAGCCCTGGGGATGCCACACGTTCATGAGATAGTGCTGCCGTAACAGAAGCCACCGCAAGGGGGTGACTTTGACAGAAATTCATTTTCTCATAGTTTAGGAGGCTAGACGTCTGAATCAGGGTGCTGGCTCTGGGGGAAGGCTTTCTCACTGTGTCTGCCCTGGAGGAAGGAAGGTCCCCGGCTCTTTGAGCCTCTGAGCAGGCTTCACGTGGGTGGCATCTTTCTTCTAGGAGGTTCTCAGCGTGGGTACCAGGCTCTCAAGGGTGGACTCTTTCTTTCTTGCTGGTAGTCAGGTACCTCTTTCCGTCTCTGGAGTGACTTATTTAAAGCCTAGCAAAACAACTCACGGAATCCGACTCACAGCAACCCTTTCGAAAGAGCAGAACTTGCCCCTGTGGGTTTCTGAGATGGTAACTCTTCACAGGAGGAGAAAGCCTCTTCTTTCTCCTGCAGAGCAACTGGTGGTTCCCAACTGCTGACCCTTCAGTTAGCAACTCAGAATGGAACCCACTCTGCCATCAGGGCAGGATGGCTTAAAACCAGCCATTAAGGTCCCATACACCTCATGTGCATGATCTCAGTTCCACAAGGGAGTCATGCACCTTGTTTATTGGACAGCTAACTGTCCAATCCCCGTGATAGACTACAAACACCTTATTTGAACAGTCCTGCCTATGGCTGGAAAGTTCCTGTAAAGTGATCCGTGGTGCTGTATTGTTCTGTGGATACTAAGATGGCTTTTCTTTCTGGCTCTGGGATTACAACGCCTTCTGTAGTTGGATGGCTGGTTTTTTTCTTTCTCGGTGGCATATAACATGATGACCATGAGGAGCCCTGGTGGCATAGTAGGTTAAGCGTTGACCTGCTTCCTCAAAGTCAGCAGTTCGAAACCACCAGCTGCTCCCAGGAAGAAAGATGAGACTGTCTGTTCCAGAAGGGATTTACAGTCTTGGAAACCCACGGGAGCAGTTCTGTTCGGTCCCATAGGTTCCCTCTGAGTCAGCATCGACTCCTGGGCAGTGAGTTTATCATCGATGGCCCTGTTACTTCGATGAATGATGACAGAGAGGATCCACCAAGTCCCTTGTCTGGGTCTTTCTCCTCTCTCTTCCACAGACCCCTTTCTGCCTCAATTGCTCCATCCTCCCAGGAGACCTGCCGTCAGGTGGGGCAAGGAGCCCCCTCCTGTGCAACGGCAGTAGGACCCATGGGCCGTTTGAGCCCGAGGACCTAAGCCTGACTGATGAGAGGCTGAGATTCAAGTACCTGGGACCGCAACAGACAAAGCTCTTTGTGCCCCTCTGTGTCATGTACCTGCTGATCTTCCTGGTGGGCACCGTGGGCAACGGGCTGACCTGTGTGGTCATCCTCTGCCACAGAACCATGTGCACGCCCACCAACTACTACCTGGTCAGCCTGGCCGTGTCGGACCTGCTAGTCTTACTGCTGGGCCTGCCCCTGGAGCTCTATGAGATGTGGCGCAACTACCCCTTCCTGCTGGGGACCAGTGGCTGCTACTTCCGCACACTGCTGTTTGAAACCGTCTGCCTGGCCTCGGTGCTCAACGTCACTGCCCTGAGCGTGGAGCGCTACGTGGCCGTGGTGCACCCGCTGCAGGCCAGGTCCCTACTGACTCGGACCCACATGCGCCGCGTGCTCGGGGCCGTCTGGGGCCTGGCTGTGCTCTGCTCTCTGCCCAACACCAGCCTGCATGGCATCCAGTGGCTGGATGTGCCCTGCCGGGGCCTGGTGCCCGACTCTGCGGTGTGCACGCTGGTCCGCCCTCGCGCCCTCTACAACCTGGTGGTGCAGACCACGGCGCTGCTCTTCTTCTGCCTGCCCATGGCCATCATCAGCGTGCTCTACCTGCTCATAGGCCTGCGGCTGCGCCAGGAGCGGCTGCTGCTCAGGCAGAAGGCCAAGGGCCAGCCGGGCACCGCAGCCAGGTACAGCGACACCTACAGGCTCCAGCAGCAACTGCAGGACAGGGGCCGGAGGCAGGTGACCAAGATGCTGTGTAAGTGTCTCTGCAGGGAGAAGAGGCTGCTGGGAATGCCGGTGTGGGCTGGGTTTATGGCGCCAGACTGTGTGCTTTGGAGGGAGCCTTCCTGTGTGCATGTGCTGTGTGTGTGTGTGTGTGTGTGTGTGTGTGTGTGTATGTCTGTCTTCATATGACTGCTAGAAATTTATACCAAAGAGAAACGTTAACAACTGAAGATTCCCAGCCAGGGCCCAGTGCAAACTTTAAGTTCAAGGACGTTGCTGAAAGCTTCAGAACTTCAGGCAGCAGCTGTCGAGCATGACAGCAGGGGCTGGGCTCGGGGCCCTGTGTGTGCACCCATATAGCCCCCACCCAGGAAGCTCGTGCAGGCTCCCAGAAGCACCCACAAAAAGGAGCATGGGGTGTATGTGGGTGGTGTGGTGTGTGGTGTGGCATGTATGCTGCATATTGTATGTGTGTTGTGTGTGCCGAGTGCATATGCATGGTGCTTGCAAGGTGGTGTGTAGTGGATGGTATATGTGTGTATGTGCCATGTATGGAGTTGTGCAGTGTGTATAGTGCATGTGTGTATGGGGTATATTGTGTGTGATGTATGTTTGGTGCTTCTGGTGTGGTGTATGGTGTCTGTGTGTCTGTGTCATGTATACAGTGTATAGTCTGTATAGTATTTGTGTATACTGTGTATATTGTGTGTATAGTGTATATTGTATATGGTGTTTGCGGTGTGTTGTGTAGTGTCTGGTATATGTGTTGTGTATAGAGTGTGTATTGTGTATGTTTGTATGGTGTGCATGTGCTGTGTATAGGGTTGTATGATGTATGTGTATATGTCTGTGTGCCATGTATAGGGTATGTGTAGTGTATGTGTGTGTAAGGGTGTGGGGGTATATTGTGCACATAGGGTGTGTATAGTGTACATGTGTGTAGTGTGTATGTGCTGTGTATGGGGTATGTATAGTGCACATGTGTATTGTGTGGTGTATATTGTCATAGTTCACATGTGTATAGGGTGTGTGTGGTATATATGTGTGTGGTGTATGTGTGTATAGGTGTTTGTGGTGTATATTGTGTGTAGTGTATCTGTGTGATGTATATTGTATGTAGTGTATTTACAGTGTATACACTATATTGGGTGTAGTGTATATGTGTGTATGGTGTATAGGGTATGTGTAGTGTGTGTGTGTGTGTGTGCCATGTATAGGGTATGTGTGGTATACGTGTGTATGGGGTATGTTGTGTATGTACATGGTGTGTATAGTGTATGTGTGTATATAGGGTGTGTACGGGGTATCTTGTGTGTGTGTAGGGTAAGTATAGTGTGTGTAACAGGCTCCCTTGTGTGTGTATAGGGTGTGTGCAGTGTACACATATGTGCCCTCACACACAGCACACCATACACCTTTCAGTGGTTTGCAAGACAAGCTGATAGAAAGCAGCCCAGGAGGCTGCCTGCAGGGACGTCATCCCATTCCTGAGGCCCTCCCCCTATCCCAGGGAAAGGTCACAGTCCCCAGAGTGACACGGTGCTAGGAGAGCCGCTCTGGCGGAAGTGCATGGTGGGTGAGTTCCCACAAGAAGGGAAGGTGGGAGTCTGCTGTCCCCAGAGAAGGGCTTGGAGGCTGGAGGGGCCCTGGCTGGATTTCTTCCAGGTGGTGGGTGTGTGGCTCCCAGGGGGGTGTGGACTACTCAGAGGAGTGACAATTTGTCTGCAAAAGTCTGGTCAAGGGCCTGGGGGGAGGGGCTGCAGCACCTGTGCTCTGGTGGCTGTCCCAACAGTGGGACCCAGTGGCACTGCAGGAGAGAGGCCGGCCAGCAAGTTGCTTCCGTACAGATGACCGCTCAGCGAGCTCCGGGGCTGCTCTACTCGGTGAGGCACGGGAGGCCGCCAGTCACGAGTGGCTCCCTGGACACAGGGTTGGGTATGTTATTTGGTGCCAGAGCCCAGGAGAATCAGGACAGACGCCCGAGTGTGGCTTAGCCCAGCCCAGGTCCCTCCCAGCTGGGTCTAGGCTCTGCGGACAGTCGGCCTCGACTAGCTCTTCTCCCAGATGAGAGCCCCACCCCCACCCCCGCGAAGCTCCACACTGCCACCCCATTCCAGCCCAGCACCCTCAGCAGACCTGCTCAGCCAGGGCAAGAGAGGTCACCCGCGTTCCAGAGTCATTATGCACTGGACTGCGAACCACAGGTCAGCGGTTTGAAACTGCGGGAGAAGGATGGGGCTTTCTATTCCCGGGAAACTCACACGGGGCAGTTCTGTCCCGTCCTGCAGGGCCGGTTAACTGGGGAGAGCCCCCTGACCAGAGACAGAGAGAGAGAGGCCCCCCTAACTCCCTGACAGAACTGGCCCCAGACTTGTGGCTGGTGGTTTCGAACTGCCGGCCTTCGGATTGCACCTACCACCAGGGCTCTACGCCACCGAGGTGATGTCAACACGAAGACCAGCGATTGGCTCTGCTCCGTCCCCGCCCCGCCCAGAAATAGGGCTGATGCTCACCTCCCCGCAGGCGCTGGGACCCACAGTTCCGTTAGGGCCGCTTTGACTCACGTCCCTCCCTGTCCCCGCGTGTGCTGGGGCTCTGGGGAAACCCCGTGGGCTGGGGTGGGGTGGGGGGAGACAGCTGGAGAAGCAAACACGCAGGACCCAAGGCAGCCGGGTGGTGGGTCCAGACCTGGGCTGGGAGGTGAGCTGTCTGCTCTGCTCGCGTTCACGCGCAGGGAGGCGTGGTGTGGTGTGCGTGTGAGCACGGAGTATGTAGTGTGTGGCTTCAGTGTGTGTGTATGTGGTTTGAGATGTGTGTCCATGGGGTGTGTGCGTGGTGTTATGAAATGGTGTGTGGTACATTTATGTGTACGTGGTGTGATGTGTTTTATGTGTGTGTACAATGTGTTATGCTGTGGTGCCTGTGGTGTGTGTCATGTGTTTGGTATGTGCATGATATGACATGGTGTGTCTGCTGTGTTTCTGCGTATGTGATGCGATACACTGCTGTGTGTGTTGTGGGGTGTGTGTGTGTGTGTGAGATGTGTGAGATGGTGTGTGTATTATGTTGTATGTTTTTGGTGTGTGTGTGATATAGTATTGATGTGTTTGTGTATGTGGTGTGATGTGCAGCGTGTGCTTATGTGGGGTGCTTGTGTGGTATGTTTGTGGGGGGGGTGTTTCTGTGGTGTGGGTCAGTGGGTGTTTGTGGGGTGTGCATCTGTGGGTGTGTGGTGTGTTTGTGTGTATGTGGGGCAATGTGATATTCTGTGTGTTTATGTGGGGTGTGTATGGGTATGGTGTGATGTGGTGTAGTATGTGTTTATTTGGGGGTATAACTGGTATATTTGTGTTTGTGTGGTGTGGCATATCTGTGTGTGGGTGTGTTTGTGTGGTGGGTAGGCTGTGTGTGTGTTGATGTGAGGTGTAGGTGATATGTTTGTTTGTGTGATGTAGTACAGTGTGTATTTATGTAGGGTGTGTTTGGCATTTTGTGTGTATGGGTGTGTGTTTGTGTGATGTACAGTGTATGGGGTGTGATGTGGTACAGTGTGTGTGTGTTGACACAGGGTGTGCTTGTGTGGTACAGTGGGTGTGTGTTTATGGGGGGGGTGTATGCGGTGTGATGTGGTACAGTGTGCATGTTGACACGGGCTGGGGTACAGTGTACGTGTGCTTGTGTGGAGTGGCTGAATCTCTACTTTGTCCTCACAGCGTGCCATCCACACAGAGCTGAGCCTGGGCCCCATTCTCCGGCTTCTCCCCCTCCTACAAACACACACACACACACACACACACACACACACACCCCGTCCTCGGCCCCACCGTCTGTGCCCCATCAAGAGTTCAGCACCCACAGCTTAGAGACACCTCATTCCTAACCCACGAGGAGAGAATCCCTGGGTCACTTGGTTCTGGGGTCCCCCTGTCCCATTAGTGGTAGCAGGGGCCAGTGGGGCCCAGCGCCACTCAGTCAGAGGTGTGGCCGGGGCAGGGAAGTTCCCCCTGTGGAAGGGAGGGGTCTGGGTCTGGAGAGTTGTGTGGCCCTGTGGGCCAGCAGGCGGGCGGCACTGAGCTGTCCACCCTCTTCGCCCCGCAGTTGTCCTGGTTGTGGTGTTTGGAATCTGCTGGGCCCCCTTCCACGCCGAACGCCTCATGTGGAGCTTCGTGTCCCACTGGACAGACGGCCTGCACGTGGCCTACCAGGTCCTGCACATCCTCTCCGGCGTCTTCTTCTACCTCAGCACGGCCACCAACCCTGTGCTCTACAGCCTCATGTCCAGCCGCTTCCGGGAGACTTTCAAGGAGGCTCTGTGCCTGGGGGCCCCCTGTCGCCGCCACAGGCCCGGCCGCCGCTCCCACAGCCTACACAGGGTGACCACGGGCAGCACCCTGTGTGACTTGGGCTCCCCCAGCATCAGGGCCCTCCCTCTGGCTGAGGACAGGGGCCCCAAGCGACCGCAGGAGAATGGCCTCCCCTGAGGGGCACTTGAAGCAGCTTTCCTGAGAGGGCCAGATGCAGTGTGGGGCCCTGGATCAGCCCTCACCTGCAGGAACGTCTTCCTGACTGCTCCCGCTGTGTCCTGACCCGTCTGGTCAGCACCTCTGTCATTCCTGACCCCACGGGTATTTGAGATTGAGGTTCCCACCACCACCACCACCACTCTCGAGGACCATGACACGGGCCAGGGCATTTTATCTCTCTGAAGGGCATACATGTGCAGCCTGCCCTCCAGGGCCCCTGCCCCACTCCCGTCTGCCTGCAGAGACATGGCCCTCCGTTAACAGGGAAACATTGGCCTCCCAGTCCCTTACCCCATCCCCAATTTCTAGAATGTTCTCCCTGGGCCCTGCTTTCTTCTCGTGTTTCTTATCCAGCTTCAACAGTTTGGACACATCCTACACCCCTCTCTATTTTCCACCTGTCCCTGCCGCCTGCCTCTGAGCCCCATTCTGCTCTGAGGTTCTCTGCCAGGAGGGGGGCCACTGCGAATTTGGGGACCTGGATCCAGTCTCCTAAAGGGGCCCAATGCTTTACAGTGTTTGCCTTAGCGCTTTAAACAGAAGCCTCCATGTGTGCAGAAGTCACGGCTTGTAAAGAAACTGCAGATCCCCTCAGATGAACAAGGCAGAAACCACCCGCCACTTCCTCCCTGATCGCCACAGGGTCCCCACCCACAAGGGCCACTCGGAGCTTGTTTGCTGATGGAGAAGCAGGAGGGCGGTATTGAGAACTGAATTGTGCCCCCCCCCCCAAACAATATGTGTATCAACCTGGCTGGGTCCTGATTCTCAGTATCCTGGACACTGTCCTCCACTCTGTGAACTGATGTACTTGTCCCTGTGGTCTGCGTCCCCCCCTTTATGCTGCCAACGAGGCAGGGTTGGCGGCAGTTGCTTTAATTCAGAAACCAGCCTTACTGCCATCTGGTGGGTTCCTCTCACAGCGGCCCTGTGAGGCAGAACTGAGCTGGCCCCTGGGGTTTCCGAGACGAAATCTTTACAGGCGTTGTTGCTGTGTTGTTAGCTGCCGTCACATCAGCTCTGATAGGCAGCAGCCTTGTGCACACAGAACAACACCCCGGCCCGTCCGGCACCATCCTCCCAGTTATTCTTAGGTTTAAACCCATTGATGCAGCTCCTGTGCCCGTCTCATTGAAGGCCTTCCTCTACCCCCCACATCCCCACCCTTCTGCTTTACCATGACGTCCTTCTCCAGGGACTGGCCTCTCCTGACAACATGCCCCAGGCGCGTGAGATAAGGTCCATGAAACTGTACAGGGGTAGATAGCCTAATCTGTCTCCCTCAGAGGGGCTGGCGAGTTTGAACCTCTGGCCTTGTGGTGAGCAGCCGGTGGGTAACCTGCAATCTCTGATTTGACTGTACCTTGAGTCAATCTCTTTTGCGATATAAAAGACATTGAACAACTGAGTGGAGGTCAGAGGGACCCAGTACCACCAAGAAAGAAAGGGTGGGTGTGGAGTGTGTCTTTGGGATCCAGGGAACCCTGTGCTGGGAATCTCCTAGACCCAAGGGAAGACGGATGCCAAGATGCGTGGGGGCTCCACGGACCGCCTGGCCCACAGATGCTGAGAGGGGACAGGACGTTCCCCGAGAGCCCACCAAGGAACAAACCTCCCTCTAGAGCAGTGGTTCTCAACCTTCCTGATGCCGCAACCCTTTCACACAGTTCCTCATGTGGTGACCCCCCAACCATAAAATTATTTTTGTTGCTACTTCATCACTATCATTTTGCTACTGTTATGAATCAGGCGACCCCTGTGAAAGGGTTGTTCGACCCCCAAAGGGGTCACGACCCACAGGCTGAGAACCACTGCTCTAGTGCTAGTACCCTGAGTTCAGCCTTCTGGCCTCCCGAACTGTGAGAAAATCAACTTCCGTTGGTTAAAGTTGCCCCTTGTGTTTTGTATGGGCAGCGCTGGATCAGCAAGGGGAGGATGGAAAGAGGTGGAGGGAGGGACCTTGATGCTGAACTCAGAGCCCGGCTCGGCGGGCTCCCCAGCCTCACCGAGGTGCAGGTGCCTTGGGGGCCTGCGGTGAGGCTGTGCTGGTCGCCCAGAGGCTCTCTGGGGACAGGAGAGGGGCCTGGGCCAGTCCAGGGCCAAGGGTGGGGAGGGCTCTGCTTTGGGCTTGAGGAGGTGAGAAGAGGGCAGGGGATGTCTAACTCCAGGAAACTAAATTCCATCCGGGGTTCCCAGCGGCCAACTGGGAGCTCCGGAGGACTCAGGCAACAAGTGAAGCTTATCCAGGGGTCACCTGATCCCGAGAGCTGCCCTCCTGAGTGAAGCTGGGAGTGCAACCCCAGCACTGCTGGCTGGGAGCTGTTCCATGACCGATGACCCGGATGAGGATGGCATCCAGCCGTGGGGCGTCAGCTGACATTCCTCCCGTCCAAAGCTCCCAGCTCCTACCCTGCAGCCCCTGCCTGTGCCTGGGGGCAGGTTGTTCTCCATTTCCTCCTCAAACTTCAATGATGAAAGCGGTCAGTGCTCGCTCACGTTTGGAAAACACAAAGAGCAAGAGTGAAAATTATCTTTGTAAACGAAAGAGCCCTCATAGCTCTGGAATCTCCAGGTGGAGCAAAAGGTGAGCGGGCATTTAACTCTTCGCTCAATGCTTGTGGGGGGTTCAAGTCCACCCAGGGACGCCTCAGGAAAGACCTGAAGATCTACTTCCCCCAAACCAGCCCTGGAAACCTGTCTGGATCACAGCCATGCGCTGGGCTCCACGCGAGTCAGGTCAATGACACCTCACCCACTCTCCCGACGTCACTGTGGGATATTGGGGTGTCGTTTCTTCTGAGAATGTGTGCTGCGGTTACAATCGTAGTCTGTACACAGTTTGGGTCTTCCTTTTTTTCCCAACTCCTAACTTCAAGCTGCTAGGCCATGCTCCCATCAGGGTCACAGCCCGCGGGACTAGATCATGTGGGGTCTCGCCAAGGGCACATCGGAACCCCAACACCGCAGTCCCTCAGTACAATCGTCTCATCTGCTCTCTGCTCTTCAGACATGCTTGTTCGAAGGGGGCAGGAAGACAG